AACAGCATGCTCTTTAAGACCTAAAGAGAAGGCTTGAATGTAAACGTATTAGTTAGTAGTCTTTGTGACACTTTTGGTCTGTTTAGTTTTCTTATGATTGGCCAGACCCCCAAAAGTATGTCATTCTAGTTCCATGTGGCCTTTGTCAGGTTGGACAGCATCTAAATGGCCCAGCTAGTGTTACCAGGCCATTGCTGCATTTCTTTAGCCAGTCCTAAACTTAAAGCTGTGAGGTCACTGCTGTGTCACAGTGTCGTTTATGATACATCCATGGGTGGCAGGGGCACCTGAAGCCTTGTGACCCTGCTGGGTTCTAAGTCCATGCTCTATTCAGCCCCACACAAACTGTCTGTGGTCAGGGTACCCAGTGTCTGAAACTAAAGGAGCTTTTACACTCAAACCGCTGTGTATGTGTGTATGTATATGTGTGTGTATGTGCGTGTGTGTGTGGTCAGTGCCATTACAGAGCCTTCACTTTGTGTCTTTGGATTTGTTCTGCCATTTTATTGTCTCTCAAGTTGAATGTATCAGCTTAGCCAAATCACTACAGAAGGTGGTTTCTAAAAACCTTTCAGACAGATGCATAAAAGCTACCTCTGACTTCTCTTTGGTTTGTGTTTGATCAGTCTAACTCTTTACAGTTAGCACAACAGGCTCATAGATTACATCACCTTAATGCACAAACACTTAGGCTACAATATTCCATCACTCGTGAACAGGCTCGAGAGATAGTTAAATCGTGCAAAGCTTGCCTTTCCCTTTTGCCTGAGCCTCATACAGGAGTCAACCCCGTGGTCTTGTGCCTGGTGAGCTTTGACAATTGGATGTTACTCATTATTCTGCCTTTGGTAATCTTAAATATATTCATGTTACGGTGGATACCTTTAGTGGCTTTGTTTGTGCCTCTCTCCAAACAGGAGAGGCCACCAAAGACGTTATTGCCCATATTTTACATTGTTTTACTATTATTCCCGTCCCTATCGCCATTAAAACTGACAATGGCCCAGGGTACATTAGTTCTAAATTTAAGGATTTTTGTAAAAAATTTGGCATTACCCACAAAACAGGAATTCCCTTTAACCCTCAAGGACAGGGAGTTGTAGAGCGAGCTAATCAGACCTTAAAAAATATGCTCTTTAAGCTTTCTTCCGAAAGCGAAACCCTGTACGCTCGCAAAGGCATCGCCTACTTTTAAATCATGTACTTTTTGTGCTCAATTTTCTCTCTCTGGACAACAATGGCCGATCAGCTGCTGATTGGCTCTGGCACCCTTCCACCCGTGAAAACTTTCGACAGGTACTCTAGAAGGATGTGCACATGGGCCAATGGCTCGGTCCTCACCCAGTCCTTATCTGGGGAAAAGGACATGCTTGCGTTCATAACACCAGCAATGGAGAAACGCGCTGGCTTCCAGACAAACTGGTCAAGCTTTATAACCCTCCCAGGGAAAGAGCCCCTGAGGAATCTCCTGTTTTCTCTTTCAGATGCCGGTCCAGTCTCCACCGCGGACCTCATCCTTCAGATGGTCAACGCCTCAGCCCAGGCACTCGCCAACACCACCTATGAGCGCTGCTGGATTTGCTATTCGCCCATCCCTCCATTCTACGAAGGAATTGCAGCCTTCGGCTCACCCATCTACACCAACGACACCAATCTGCTTCGCTGGGGCACGCAGCCACAACCACGTGGCATGACCTTAGGACAGGTCGTTGGATCTGGACTCTGCCTTTTGGGACCACGTATGCTTCCCCCCACCCCGCTGTTAGAAGCATGTACTCAAACCATGCAAGTTGCTGCTCATGCTTCCTTTCTTATTGCCCCCAACCTCACCTTTTTTGCTTGCTCCACAGGGTTATCCCCGCATATTATTGTAGATGTTTTTCTTGCGCACAAGGACTACTGCGTCCTTGTTGTACTTGTGCCCAAATTGACTGTTCGCCCTGAATCTGATTTATTGCCCCAAAGTGATCCAACTGTAACTCTCTCTCGCCAAAAAAGAGAGCCGGTCACCGCCCTCACACTAGCCATATTGGTTGGTCTGGGTGCAACAGGTGCTGGCACAGGAATTTACTCCCTAATCCACACAAAGGACTCTATTAATGCTCTAACCCGCACTGTTATTAGAGACGTAGATGAGCTAAAAAGAGGTTTAGATTACTTGGAACAAACTGTTGGTTCCTTAGCTGAAGTGGTACAACAAAACCGCCGAGGTCTCGACCTCGCCTTTTTGCGGGAGGGAGGAGTTTGTGCCGCCCTTAAAGAGGAATGTTGCTTTTTCAAAGACAAATCAGGATTAGTTAGAGATAGTATCAGAAGAGTTGAACAGAGTCTGGAAGAAACAAAAAGAAATTTGGATCAAAGTGAATCTTGGTACAAAAATTGGTTTTCTACCTCTCCCTGGCTATCGACTTTGCTGCCTAGTTTGTTAGGACCTTTTATTGGCCTTATGTTACTTATTTCCTTTGGTCCTTGGGCATTTCGACGCCTTACTGGTTTTGTTAAAAATCAGGTTGATGAGGCTACCAAAAATTCAGTTCAGGTTCACTATCAGCAGCTCTCTCAACAAGACCCCGAAGAACCTGAGGCTGTAGACAAACCTACATTCCAGCCTTTGAGCTTTCAGGAGTTTGAGTACCTGGCCAACCGCCCGCGTTCACTCTGCTCCAGGCTGTGGAGATGCTTAAGACGGGGATAGCTTGGTGCCAGAATCTGGGAGCAAACATGGCTCTCTAAACATTGCCGGCAAAAACTTAATTCGTATCCTCTCTCGCCATGTCCAGAACTGGAAGCCCACCAGGTAACCTAAGACAGGCACTCCACCCAATTGCTCTCTTCTTTTACTATATAGAAAAGGGGGAGATGTTGGGGACTGCTAGAACCTTGAACAAAATGGAGTCTGTCAACCGTTTCTTGGCCTTCCGCCTACGTGACTGCGAGCACACATGCCCTTGAGACAAAGGAAAAGGCTAACCATTAAAGTTAAATTTACACAGGGCAGCCCACCCGCCTAGCCAGAGGGAAGTACCCTTACAGAGTAATTGTCTTTGTTAACAAAAGATTAAAGTGTTCCATTGAATACTTCCTACCCCTCCCTAATTCCTGCACCTGACTTACGCTGACAAGCATTTGTGGAATGCAACCAATGACTGATGGAAAATTACAGCTTTGTCTTTACCGTATTTGGTGTATATTTGAATTGAGACTTGATTGACATGCTTGTACCACCCCCTGAGGTCCTTCCTCTATAAATTCCAGCGCGCCCCAAAAAATAAAGGCTCTTGATCAGCGAACGTTGTCTTGAGCCTGATTTCATTAACCTCTTGAAGTTCACTTTCCAGATCGGATCTGCTCGTGAAGGCCCACTAAATTAGTAGCGACCCTCATCACCTCACCCCCGCGGGTCGGGGGTCCCTTCCCGGGGGTCGCACACATACGCACTGGAGAAAGCAGGAATGTCGATCGTACGGGCTGTCTCCTCAAAGGGGAATGACACCCGCTTCCCACTGAGAAGGCAGCGGGAGAGCTGCTACTCACCTGGGGACCAGATCCCAAAATGCTTGCCCCAGACTCTGCCTCTCTAGACCCTCATCCTTGTTTCTCAGTCACTAGTGCCTACCCTGAGGGAGACGCCACCAGTGCCCACCCTGAGAGAGACGTCACTAGTGCCCACCCTGAGGGAGACGTCACCAGTGCCCACCCTGAGGGAGACGTCACCAGTGCCCACCCTGAGGGAGACGCCACCAGTGCCCACCCTGAGGTAGATGTCACCAGTGCCCACCCTGAGGGAGACGTCACCAGTGCCCACCCTGAGGGAGACGCCACCAGTGCCCACCCTGAGGGAGACGTCACTAGTGCCCACCCTGAGGGAGACGCCACCAGTGCCCACCCTGAGGGAGACGTCACTAGTGCTGACCCTGAGGGAGATGTCACCAGTGCCCACCCTGAGGGAGATGTCACCAGTGCCCACCCTGAGGGAGATGTCACTAGTGCCCACCCTGAGGGAGACGTCACTAGTGCCCACCCTGAGGGAGATGTCACTAGTGCCCACCCTGAGGGAGATGTCACTAGTGCCCACCCTGAGGGAGATGTCACTAGTGCTGACCCTGAGGGAGACGCCGCATGGCCTTCACAGCCTGCTTGACTACACTGTGTTGGGCGGGCAGAGATCACAGCAGACTCTGGGCCCTTAGGCTGTGGGCCCCATCCTCACGGTGGAGGTCACATGTACTTCGCAAAGAGTTTCAATGTAGTCACACCTTCAGCTTTATTGTACCCATGGTTGGGACTATTGTCACCAGGAACTTTTTTCAAAGCTGTACTATACTTAAATATGCCTAAAGTAAGCAGCGCAGGACCGGACTCCAGAAGCCTGATCCAGCCCAGCCAAGTCTTGCTGAACTGGGCTTCCTAGTTGCCTCTCACAGGTTGTTTCTCTGCTGACTGTGGTGTTTGTAGGGACCCCACTGTGGCGCACGCCTTTAATCGCAGCGCCCGGGAGGCAGAGGAAGATGAAGCTCTTGGAGAGGTAGCTCAGTTGGTAGTGTTTGCAGGTCAGCTGGCAGAGTGCCTAACTAGCACACATGAACCCCAGGGGTCCATCTGCGTCACTGCAGAAATGGCTTGGTGGCACACTTCTGTCACCTGTCACCTGGGAGGAGGTGAAGGTAGGAGAATTATGAACTCAGGGTCATCCTCAGCTACACAGTTTGAGTCCAGCCTGGACTAAATGAGACCTCATCTCAAAAGACAAAACAGCCGGGCGGTGGTGGCACACACCTGTAATCCCAGCACTGGGGAGGCAGAGGCAGGCGGATCTCTGTGAGTTCGAGGCCGGGCTGGACCGACAGCCTCCAAAACAATATAGAGAAACCCTGTCTCGTAAAAACCAAAAAAAAAAAAAAAAGACAAAACAAAAAACATTTTGAGTTTTGAGACCCAAAGCTAAAGCGTCCAACAGATGACAAGGGGTGGTGTGACTCCCCAGTGACCACAGCGCTTACCTCAAATGTCAAGCCGTGCTTCTGGCAGAAGCTCTGCACCTCGGGGTAGGCGGTACACTGCAGAACTTCCCGCTCTGTGTCCATATCTGCAAGGCACAACCAGGAGCATGTTAGAGAGAAGATTCCAGAAGTCTGCCCCGCCCCTACTGAGCTCTGTGTCTCATCAGACCCCTGCAAGGTTGGAGTCGTCCTAAATATCAAAAAATATGGAAGAAGGCTGGGTGTTGGTGGCACATGCCTTTAATCCCAGCACTCGGGAGGCAGAGGCAGGTGGATCTCTGTGAGTTCGAGTCCAGCCTGGTCTACAGAGTAAGTGCCAGGACAGCCTCCAAAACAATACAGAGAAACCCTGTCTCGAAAACCCCCCAAAAAATATGGAAGAAGAGGAGGGGGGAGGAGGAAGAGGAGGAGGGAGGAAGAGGAGGGGAGGAGGGAGGAGGAAGAGGAGGGGGAGGAGGGAGGAGGAAGAGGAGGAGGAGAGGAGGAAGAGGGGGAGGAGGAAGGAGGAAGAGGAGAGGATGAGGGGGAGGAAGAGGAGGAAGAGGGAGGAGGGAAAGGAGGAGGAAGAGAAGGGGAGGAGGAGGCAGGAAGAGGAGGAAGGGAGGAGGGAAGAGGAAGAAGAAGAGGGGGAGGGAGGAGGGAGAGGAGGAGGGAGGAGGAAGCAGAAATATGGGGCCAGCAAGATGGCTCAGCAGTAAAGGCGCTTGCTGCCAAGCCTGCCCCACAGGACAGAAGGAAGGAGCTGACCTCTGACCTCTGACCTCCATGCACCTGTGCTGTCCTGGTGCACACATAACGCTCTCCCCAGGAAGACCACACACACAAAATTATTGAAACCTAAAAGTTACATGGAATCAAACCAAATAAACCAACCACCCTGGGTCACCTGGAGTCCCCTGTGTGAGCTCCATCAAAACCACAGCCCCAGACACTCTCAGGCCCAGCCCAGCAGGTTGAGCCCAGGCTAAGTTAGGGCGGCCAGATAAAATGTAAGCATGGCTGGGAACATCTGGCTCAGATGCTGTCGGACCCAGCACGATGGAGGCCCTGGACTTCACCCCTTGGACTGCAACAAAACAAGAGACCTTCCAAATGCAGACAGTACTCTCAACAAGCCAGGCAAGCAAGATCACGCGCAAGTGCAAGCTCTGCTTGTAACACACTGAAGGCTTGTTCCCAGTTCCCCCCTGAAATGCCGCCTGAGCCAGGTGGGTTTGCTGTGTTGACAGAGAACCCAGAGCTTCACTCCCCCAGACCCTCATGGGGCATTCTTGGCAGGGGCTCCACCCCCTGAGCCACACCCCCAGACACTCACTGAGGAATTCTAGGCAGGGGCTCTACCACAACCAAAAAATAAATGATTCAAAAATACCTATTCGGATTCTGACTTGGGAGCAGTGCAGAATGGGATGAGTCTGGGATCTGTCCCCCACACACTTGTTCCTTTCCCAATCTGTCTTATCAACTTTATAGACTATTTGAATGTGCTCATATAACCCTTATCATACAATAAATTCAGGCCCAGAGCCTTGCTGAGCAGGAGGGATACATCGAGAGGCAGTGAAGTCTGAAGTCAGGAGCTTGCACATAAGTTCACCATCTGAACTTTTCAGGCACGTGCAGAGCTCGGGAAAGCTGTCTAGCATGCATGTGTGGATCTGAACTTTTCAGAGCTCGGGAAAGCTGTCTAGCATGCATGTGTGGATCTGAACTTTTCAGAGCTCGGGAAAGCTGTCTAGCATGCATGTGTGGATCTGAACTTTTCAGAGCTCGGGAAAGCTGTCTAGCATGCATGTGTGGATCTGAACTTTTCAGAGCTCGGGAAAGCTGTCTAGCATGCATGTGTGGATCTGAACTTTTCAGAGCTCGGGAAAGCTGTCTAGCATGCATGTGTGGATCTGAACTTTTCAGAGGTCGGGAAAGCTGTCTAGCATGGAGACCCGAAGTTCAGTCCCCAGCACTAAGACACCAAAATATCAAAAGAAATGTGCAATCCATGTGGCAGACAATAATGGATTTTCAACAGTGTCCTCAGTCACTTGTCACACAGCCGGTACTGAAAAGATAAACAGGGCTGGTCACACTTTTAATCCCAGCACTCGGGAGGCAGAGGCAGGCGGATCTCAGTGAGTTTGAGGCCAGCCTGGTCTACAGCGTGGGTTCTAGGACAGTTAGGACTCACAGAAAAATCCTGCCTTGAAAAAATATATTTTAAAAAAAGTGAATAGATAAAATAAGGATTGACTGGTAAAATACACTGTACTTTGGAAGGGAAAATGGTAACACTCAGAGCGTGTGTCTTCCAGCAACTGGAGCAGATTTAAGGTAAGCTTTGCACTTGAAGACGCTCGTCTGGATCAAGCTGAGAAAATGGACCATTATTCATTGGTGTCCTATGGTGCACCATGCCTGGTGACTGGGTTGTGTGCTCGCTGACAGGGCTGTGTGCTCAGCGAATTCAGCCCGTATCATGGACATAACTGCTAAAGTAATTACATCACGGGAATAGGGAGCTACTGCAGATCAGGCATTTTCATGTGCAGTTTTATTTAATGTGAAGAACACACAGCTCTATGCAGCTGTGTGCAGCTGGCACTGGATCAGAGCGAGAACCAACATAAGCATGGGGCCATCAGGATGGCTCACTGGGACGGCTCATTGTGTGACGGGAGTTGCCACCAAGCCTGAAGACCCAAGTTCAATTCCTGGGACCCACCTGGTGGGAGGAGAGAGCCAGCCCCTGAAAGCTGTCCTCTGTGTGTGACTCCTGCACACGTCCCCCACATATAAATAAAGGTGTAAAGACCAGGGCGGACCCAGGAATGCAGCTCACTAGCAGAGTGCTTGCCTAACACAACTGGGTTTAATCCCCAAAACAGCATAAACAATGAATAAACAAAAAAGAAATCTTTTCTAAAAGAAATGCTTGGGCAGGGGGTTAGGGTGTGGCTCCAAGGGAGGACTTTTGTGGGTCACCAGCCTATGTCTATTCACACACGTCTCTTGGAGGACCCCATGAGGTAGAGCCACCATGGAGAGTGTCTGTCTGTCCCAAGCCCCCAGCGGCCCTTACCTGAGACGGCAGAGCTGATGAAGACGGCCACACTGCTGCTGGTAGAGGGTGCCGGGAGCGAGACCGCCTGACCCCGGAGAAGCCGCTGGCGAGTGCCAGGGCTGAGGGGGCCCACACTCATGCTTCCCACCCACCTGGATGATTCTTCCCCAGGACCTGAGACCCAAGGACCTCACACCAGCAGCTGAGGATGCCCCCTGGGAGGCCGGCCAGGCACGGCCACCGCAAGCAGGGGCATATCTCAGGCTCTGTGGCTGCGTTGGTCACTGCAGCGTTCCCTCGGGGATGCCAGGATGTGGGACCGCGGCTTTCCCAGTGTTGCTGGATGTTGTTGCCTTCTTCTGGCACCAGAGTCTTCTTCCAGTTTCTCATGGAAGCTTCAGTGGTCGCCATAGTAACCACAGTTCTGAGCACTGGGCATTGGAGCCCGGGGACCAGACAGTCTTTCCAACACCTGGCTCCCCTGGGGCCTCTGTGTAAGTTGAGCCTGAGCCCAGGTGTGCAGAGGGAGGCCAGGGGTTTCTGGGAGCCACGGGAAGCCCTGGCATTGGATAGACACTCCACTGCATGCCACCCTGTCTGTGCCTCTCATAAGCCAGTGTTCATGCACCGTGGAAGTTATGCAAGAAGGTTATCCCACCTGGAGCAGTACGCCATCCCAGAACGCGTCAATGTCTGCAGAATTTATGGTTGTCAGGAATAGATGTGCCAAGAACATCAAGTGAGCAGAAGGCTGGAGGCGTGGCTCGGGGGTAGACCCCCTCCCCTGAAGAATCCCCCAGTGAGGGGCTGGTGGTGTGGCTCAGTGATGGAGCCCTGCCTAGAATCCTCCAGTGACCATTGTGGGTGAGACTCAGACATAGTCTGTTTTTCTAGCCTGGATAAGATCCTAGACCAACTGTTCTCTATCTGTGGGTCATGACCCTCTTGAAAAACCCATCTCCAAAAATATTTACAGTGATGAAGCAGCAATGAAAGTAGTTGTGCAGTTGGGGTCACCACAGCACGAGGAGCTGGGAAGGGTGAGGACTATTAGGGGACTGGGAAGGGTGAGGACCACTGGGCCAGGCTGACTCTCAGCGGATGGGCGATGGGGAGGAGAACGGAGACAGGGCAGGCAAGGAAGGAAATCTCCCTGTCTGACTCTCGCTCCCATCTCCCAGCCTTACGGTCCCAGTGGCAGAGACTGAACCTGTGTGTTGTCTTCTTAGGGTGTGGAAGCATCAAGCCTCCTGGCCCGGGCAACCGCCCCATCTTCTGTGAATTGGGAGTAAACCCCTCATAAGCACTCTGTGGTCTGTGGGAGAGTGAATGTCAAGGCAGCCATCGTGACAGGCGTATGTGCTAGGCACTGAGAACACATGGATTCGCAAGGACCAAACAGAGTGAGCGCTTGATGGACAGATAGAGAGAGAGAGACAGAGACAGAGAGAGATAGAGACAGAGACCGAGATAGAGATAGAGATAGAGAGAGATAGAGATAGAGACAGAGACAGAGATAGAGAGAGATAGAGACAGAGAGAGATAGAGACAGAGACCGAGATAGAGAGAGAGAGAGAGACACAGAGATAGAGATAGAGAGAGAGACAGAGAGAGATAGGGATAGAGATAGAGACAGAGACCGAGATAGAGATAGAGAGAGATAGAGACAGAGACCGAGATAGAGAGAGATAGATAGAGACAGAGACCGAGATAGAGACAGAGACAGAGATAGAGATAGATAGAGATAGAGATAGGGATGTGCACTGTATTACTCTGTATGCTATTTACATGAGATACTAATATGTACTAAAGGAATGGCTTGGTGGTCACATGTATGATCCCAGCACTCTGGAGAGTGAGGCAGGAACGTCATAAGTCTCAGGCCAGCCTGGGTATATAGTGACATCAGTTCCCAGCACCCACGTAGTGCCTTCCACGTGGCACTGGTAACTGGTAATTCCAGTTCCAGGGGCTCTGACGCCCCTTCTGGCCGCTGAGGCCATCGCACACATACACAGGCAGGCAAAACATCCATACACATAAAATGAAATAAATAACTCTTCTTTTAAAAAGCAGAACTAAACAAAAACTACAGGGCTGGCAAGGGGGATCAGAGGTTAAAGGTGCTTACGTCTAAGTCTGGTGGCTTGAGTCTGGTCCCCGGGACCAATAGGACAAGGAGTCCACACACAGGCCATGAAAGGAGCCTACTCACACACACAAGACCAGATCACTCCAGCATGTGGCCGAGCGCCTTGGCTACCCCTGCATGTGTTTCCAGGAGGCTCTGAACTCTTTAGCCTTGGTCTTCACAGGAAGACCTGGGGTGTCCTCGTGTGCCCTCTCCCTGGCTGGCTCATTTCTTACGGCACTAAACCACTTCACGGGGGACCTGCCCCATCCGTCCCCACTGCCACCAAAGCACACAAGCAAAAGTGCGCCCAGACACGGTGCCTCCTTGGGGGCAGGGCTCCACTTGGTTCAGATGCCCTGGCCTGAGCAGAACATGGTGGTCCACGCCCGTGACCACAGCACACGGGGTGCTTGCCTGACCCTGCCTCTGTCTGTTATCCTGTGAGTCAGAAGGTAGAGGCAGGAGGATGAGGAGTTCAAAGCCATCCGCACAAACGTGGTGAATTCAAGGACAGTCCGGGCTACAGGAGACTCCATCTCAGAAACTCCAAGGGGTTGGGGGGTGGGGCAGTGCTCAGGGTGTGGATGCTGGAGAAGCAATAGCCCAGCACCAGCCTGGATAACAGGAGATCCTGCCTCAGAAAGGCGGGAGGGAGGGAGGGAGGGAGGGAGGGAGGGAGGGAGGGAGGGAGGGAGGGAGGGAGGGAGGGAGGGAGGGAGGGAGGGAGGGGGAGGAGAAGGGGGGCAAGGAAGAGGAGGAGGAGGATCCACTCCTAGTTTAACCTCAGAGCCTTTGCTCTAAACCAAATCTGTGCAACTCACATTCTTTCCCGTTTTCAAAGCAGAACTCCCATTCTCCTCTGAGATGGTCTCCTCCGGTCGGTCCTGGACTTGATGGGCCCTTTCAGCCATCCCCTGCGGAGTCCTCCCTGTATCAGTGCGGTCTCACCCTCGGCTCAACTCTCCATTTCCAGTGTCTGTTGCCCGGGGAATGCAGCTCTCACTGAGGCACTCCGTGAAGAATCTGCACCTCAGTGGGTCCTTGGGCAATCGTTCTGGCTCCCTGCCTTCCTGCAGACGCCTCAGCAAGAGTAGGGGGTGGGGTGGGGGTGGGGGGAGTCTTCCACAAGCTCAGTGCCCTTCGCAGCACCAGCTCTCCCGGGGATGCCAGCTTCCCTCTTACTGGCAGGCAGGGCGCCCACTCCAAAGACCCTGGGAGACAGAAGTTGCTCGGGCCCAGAGCCCCTGTGTAAACAAGGCTCTGCCTTTCCTGGTAACTTTTGTCTTAGGTTCTTTCTGGTCACCACACCAAGTTCTCCCAGCAACTGGGATAAAGGAAAGGAACCCGCTGAGAAGCGGCCTGGGCTGGGCACCTAGCCAGGCCGGGTGGTTAACTGTTGTGTGCCAGGCTTCACGGCTCTCAGCAGCATGTGCCCTCAATGGGGGCGGGGCGGGGCAGGCTGCTGCCTGGTTTGTACCAGTACCCCGAGGGGAGGTTTCGATCCTATCCCAGGGCCACAAGAAATATGCTCCACGGGCAGAGGGAGGGTCAAAGTTTAAGAGTGATTGCTGCTCACCCTGAGGACCCGAGTTTGGTATGATGCACCCACATCGGGTGTGGCTCATAGCCACCGTTACCTCCATCACCTTCTTCTGGTCTCTGGGCACCGCAGGAACCTGTGCAATGCAGGTCCTGGAGGCCTCAAACTCAAGCCATCCGGTCTGACTAGGCAGCCCCAATGGGGAAGGGTGACGTTTGGGGTTGGGATAGTCTTGGCTGAGTGATGCAGAACACGGAATAGTCACGGTTTCCATTGCCGTGATGCAGAACACGGAATAGTCACGGTTTCCATTGCTGTGATGCAGAACACGGAATAGTCACGGTTTCCATTGCCATGATGAAACACTGCGACCAAAAGCCACTCGGCAAGGCCAGCGTTTGTTTGAGCTTGTGTCCCAGTGACCTGATGCGGAGGCCATGGGGGGAGCTGCCTCTGGCTTGCTCCCCACGGCCTGCTTCCTTACCCATCCCAGGACCACACGCCCAGGGCTGGAGGCAGCCACAGTGAGCTGGGCCCTCCCCCATCCACCACTAACTAAGAAATCACAGTTGTGTGATTATACTTAAGGCCCACTCCCAGGAGGGAAATTGTCCTGCTACTGGAACCTAGCCAGTTTCTCAAGGCCAGTGAGGTCGGGAACGATTAGGGTCTGAATAGGAATGGCTGCCACAGACTGGTGCGTTTGAGTGCTTGGCCTGTAGAGGGTGGCACTGTCAGGAGGTGTGGCCTTGTTGGAGAAAGTGTGTCACTGTGGGGGTGGGCTTTGAGGTCACATATGTTCAAGCTCTGCCCAGGGTGACACACATGCTCCTGCTGCTGTCTGGAGACCAAGATGCAGGACTCTCAGCTACAGCACCAGGTCTGCCTGGACGCTGCCACGCCCCACCGTGATAACAGACTGGACCTCTGAACGGTGAGCCGCCCAATTGAATGTTTTCCTTGCTGTGGTCGTGGCGTCTCCTGACAGCAATAGAGACCTTAACTAAGACGGGCGTTAGAGAACAGTCTGTAGTGCCGCTGAGTAGATGAGCACCTTCCCTACTGAGCTCCACACCTCACCCTCAACACACGCGGGTGCAGCTCCCCCGTGACAGAGGCCTCTTCACGCCCAGTGGAGCCCGGCACAGCAAGCCACCGTGGGGAGACGGCACCTGTGGGAGCACAGCCCAGTGGGCACATTCTCATGACAGCTCCTGCACCTATGGCTCAAGGACATCTGCCTAGAGGGGACGGGAAGATTGCAGGAGCCAGAGCACCAGGAAGTCCACTGCAAAGCGTTGTCCCTAGGAACGACTGCACAATCAGGACAGGGACAGTGTCATGGACATGCCAGTCTGGAAGGAGGAAATCTCACGGGGCTCACCCCCAGACAAAGAACTACGGGCAACTAATGACTGCTGGGAGAGGCGTGAGGACCCTCACTGGTTGTGCAGCACAGAGTGGTCAGCTCGGAAACCAGAGGTACAGCCCACAAAACAGGCTCGGCAGGCGGTATTCATGTGTGCTTACACGTGCACATATGTAACAATAGTAATCAAGGGAAGGAGGCTGTCAACTGAGAGTTGGGGGACATCACAGGGACTCAGAAAGGGGACCGGGGAGTCTGGAGGGAGGAAAGGGAAGGGAAAATGATACAACTATATTTCAGTTTAAAATGTTTTTAAGCCAGGCATTGGTGGCAAACGACTTTAATCCCAGCACTCGAGAGACAGAGGCAGGCAGATCTCTGTGAGTTTGAGGCCAGCCTGGTCTGCAGAGTGAGCTCCAAAACAATACAGAGAAACCCTGTCTTGAAAAACCAAAATAAATAAATAAAAATAAAATAAATAAATAAATGTTTTTAAGAGAGAAATCGATCCTGCGAGCTTGCCCAGTGCAATCTTTTTTTTTTTTTTTTTTTCTTTTTGGTTTTTCGAGACAGGGTTTCTCTGTATTGTTTTGGAGGCTGTCCTGGAACTCACTCTGTAGACCAGGCTGGCCTCGAACTCACAGAAATCCGCCTGCCTCTGCCTCCCGAGTGCTGGGATTAAATGCGTGTGCCACCAACGCCCGGCTATGCCCAGTGCAATCTTACAGCGATGTCTTCTCTACTGGGATTTCTCTTCCCGCATAACAGTAGCTTGTGTCAATTTGACAAAGTAAATAAACAAAAACAGCAGAACCAACCAGGACAAGCAGTGTGCCTGGCATCTGCCTGGCAGACACCAGCGGCCCCTCCTGCCCTATGAGACAGCCACAACGAATTCTGACACTGCCATGGGGCCCTGCGGAGCACACTCCCTCCTCCCCCTCCGTTTCCCATCAGTTACGGTACAGCACAGCGTGTGCATGTGATTTTTAGTTGTGATTTTATTTTTCTTGGAAAGTGCTGGGGAGTAGAACACAGACACCATGAGGGCTCGGTAGGTGCTGACAAATGGACATCCCCTTATCCTAAGTGAGAATCATACGCAGACATATTCACATAGAATATATGACAGACGAGCACATGTAACACATGTAATATACACCATGTTCTGTATTGCATAGGTATGATGTAATATATTGTATACATATGGCTTCTAATGTATCCCACATACCTAATATATAATCTATGTTAAATACATATAACAGAAAATAATATATGATGTGTAAAGTAAGTTACACACATACAATGTATATGCATTGCACATGTGACATGTTATAGAAGCATTGTAGGCATATAACATAATATCTATGTTATGTGTATGCTATATGATAGACATATAATAAATACATACTACTTTGTGCAAATAGCTATATAATATATAGTATATTATATACATATAATAATGTGTTGTGTGTTATTTAGTACATGTATGTAATTTGCACTATGTATCATATGTGTGTAATGTAGGTTTTGCATATATAGTATTTATTACTCACTAGTTGTGTATATTATGTACATCATACATACAATACATAATACATAATATGCATGTAAAGACTTATGATGATACATATTATAGCCATGAAATATAACGTCAGTGTAATACAGTATATAACATATTTTATTTATTTGTTGTGAGACTTTTTTGGTGGTTTTTTTTTTTGACACAGGGTTTATGTAGCTCTGGCTATCCTGGAAATCATTTTGTAGACCAGGCTGGCCCTCGAATTCACAGAGATCTGTCTTCCTCTGCCTCCGGAGTGCTTGGATTGAAGGCATGTGTACATTTTAGTTGCATACACTGGAAACAGGGTCCCGAAGCAGGGCTGACCTTGAATTCCTCATCCCCCTGCCTCTGCCCGGCTGCTGGATGGCAGTGAGCCTGTGGGGAGCCATCAGTTTTTTGGTCTCACAGTGGCTTACCCCTACCTGGTCGGAGGGTGGGGGAAGGATCCCGGCTGAGTGACTTCAGGGCAGAGAAGGAAGCGTGCAGAGCAGGGCAGCAGCGCCCTCTAGGGGTCGGTCCGGGAAATGTGAGTGAATGGGTCCAACTCCCTGTCTCAGAGCCCACTGAAGAAATAGGCTACTGCAATGCTTGACGAGTTTCTGCTGCCCTCAGAAAACCCAAGGCAGAGCGTGCTAGTGCATGCCTTTAATCCCAGCACTCGGGAGGCAGAGGCAGGCGGATCTCTGTGAGTTCGAGGCCAGTCTGGTCTACGAGCGAGTTCCAGGACAGCCTCCAACGCCACAGAGAAACCCTGTCTCGAAAATCAAAAAAAAAAAAAAAAAAAAGACCAATAGCTTTCTTTCTTACTTTCTCTTCTTTTTTTCTGAGACAGGGTTTCTCTGTGTAACAGCCCTGGGTGTCCTAGAACTCACTCTGTAGACCAGGCTGGGCTCAAACTCAGACTCCCCTACCTCTGCCTTCTGAGTGCTGGGATTAAAGATGTGCGCCACCATGACCGAGGAGGATATGGTATTTTTTTTTCTTTCTTTCTTTTTTTTTTTTTCGAGACAGGGTTTCTCTGTGGCTTTGGAGGCTGTCCTGGAACTCGCTTGGTAGTCCAGGCTGGTCTCGAACTCACAGAGATTCGCCTGCCTCTGCCTCCTGAGTGCTGGGATTAAAGGCGTGCACCACCAACGCCCGGCTGGTATTTTTTTCTTATATTTTATTTTATCCCTTGAAGCCTGTTTGCTTTCTAAGGAAAAACGGAAAGGAAGTAAACCCAGACTGGAGAGGATGAAGATGGGGCCTGGGAGGAGAAGTGGAGGGAACCATATCAGGGTATACTGAGTAAGGGAAAATCCATTTTCAATAAAAGGGAAAAAGTAGGAGATTCTTCAAAATAGCGTGACCTCCTTGTCACACTGAGGGCATGTGGCAGTTCTCAAATGCCATCTCCTATTCAGTCCACATCAGTTCCCATCCTCCGCACTAGGGCAGCACGTGGAAGGAAGGGTTCCCTGGGCTCCCAGCCCCGTGTGCAGCTCCTCACGGTGGGGCCGCCGGTCGCTGTGCTCCAGTCAGGAAGTGAGTGGGAAGGACGCCCGGGACTTCAGTCTACTGACGCTGACAGACTCCCTTACGGGTGTGACCAGATGTTTGTTTCCATGGTGACTAAGTCCCATCAAGTAAACAGTCAAGACGGACTATCACACAGTCAGTATGAAGCTTCCTTAGAAAACTGCCTAGAATAATTCTACGGGCATTGTCTTGTCCCCTTTCACACACAGGACAGAATAAAGTAGGGTAAACTAACGGGAAAGCCGGCCGCGGTGCCGTTCGCCTCTAGCCCAGTGCTGTGTGGGGCAGACGGGAGGGTGCCTGAGGCGAGCCTGCTGGCAGCCCAGCTTCAGGCTCCGTGTTGTGGGGATACAACAGGAAGTGATAAAGGATGCTCACATCCTCCTCTGACCCCGCACACACAAGCGCACATACATGTGCTGTGCACTCCACAAACACAACTTTTTAAAGTAAAAAACAATTTTTAAAACAATTCAAAGCCAGCCTGGGCTAGTTAGCACGACCCTTCACCCAGACTAAAGGAAGAAGGTGGCATGTGGGTACAGGGTGCACCCACTCATCCTGTCTGGATTCCTAGGATCTATCCCCAAGAGTCCAAGAAGAGAGGGAGGGGGAGGAGGGAGGGAGGGAGGAAGGGTCTGGAGAGACGGCTCAGTGATTTTCTTTTCAGACAGGGTCTCACTGTTCTGGAGTTTGCTCTGTAGACCAGGCCAGCCTCTAACTCAAAGAGATCCTCCTGCCTCAGCCTCCTGAGTGTGCTGGGATTAAAGCTGCTGCCTTGCCTGGTATCTCAGTGACTAAGAACACAGTGGCTGCTCTTGTAGAGGACCTGGGTTCGATTCCCAGCATCTACATGGAGGTTCCCAACTGTCTGTAATTCCAGTTCCAGGGTATCCAATGCCTTCTTCTGGCCTCTGAGGCCACTTTATGCATGAGGTACACAGACACACATGTGGGCAAAATACCCATATACATATAAGATACCCATGTACATATAAGATACCCATATTCATATAAGATACCCATGTACATATAAGATACCCATATACATATAAGATACCCATGTACATATAAAATACCCATGTACATATAAAAATACTTTTTTTGGAAGCCGGGCGTTGGTGGCGCACGCCTTTAATCCCAGCACTCGGGAGGCAGAGGCAGGTGGATCTCTGTGAGTTCGAGGCCAGCCTGGTCTACAGAGCGAGTTCCAGGACAGCCTCCAAAGCTACAGAGAAACCCTGTCTTGAAAAACCAAAAAAAAAAAAAAATATATATATATATATATATATATATACTTTTTTTGGTGTTGTTTGTTTGGTTTTTTGTTTTTGTGTTTTTGTTTTGTTTGTTTTTGTTTTGTTTTTTAGACAGGGCTTCTCTGTGTAGCCCTGGCTATCCTGGAACTCACTTTGTAAACCAGGTTGACCTCAAACTTACAGAGATCTGCCTGCCTCTGCCTCCCAAGTGCTGGGATTAAAGGTGTGTGCACCACCACCACTTGGCAAATTTATTTATTTTTTTAAGAAAGAAAAAGGCACCACCCTCCACACACTTTCTGGGCAGGCCTTAGTAACCACAGGACAAAGTGTCTTTTAAAAAGACATCTGGTTGGGTGGTGGCAGTGCCACACACCTTCAATCCCAGCACTTGGGGACAGGCTATAGAGGCAAGTGGATCTCTAAATTCAAGGTAAGATTGGTATACAAAGCAAGTTCCAGAACAGCCAGGACTGTTATGCAGAGAAACCCTGCCTTGAAAAAAATGATAACCAGGATTTTATTTATTTTTATTTTATGTGTTGTTGCCTGCATCTGTGCTCCATATGCATGCAGTGCCTGAGACAGCCAGAAGAGGGCGTCGGATTCCTTAGAACCCGAGTTGTTATGGATGGATCTCTCCCTCTCTCCCTCTCTCTCTCTCTCTCTCTCCCTCTCCCTCTCCCTCTCCCTCTCCCTCCCTCTCCCTCTCCCTCTCCCTCTCCCTCTCCCTCTCTCTCTCTCTCTCTCTCTCTCTCTCTCTCTCTCTCTCTCTCTCTCTCTCTCTCTCTCTCTCACACACACACACACATACACACACACATCCGGTCCTCAGAGTTAGCAACTCTTTTCTAGAAAGGACCTCCCCCCAAAAAATTATATTTTCGACTGTTCATAAGATTGAAACGTCTTAACCCCGACATGACAATGAAGAGCAGCTAGAGATGTGGTTCAAACAGTCAGGGGCCACACACCAATAAAACTTTATTTAAAGACACAGTGAGAAGCCATGTTTGTTCGTTGCGGAGGTGAGGACAGAACCTGGGCTCTGCTGTGTTTGGATGGTGTTGGGCTGTCAGTGCTCAGCGGCCCTGATACAGGCGTGGGAGCCAGGCTGGGGCTGTGCTTTATGGCACCCTTCCCTGTTTCTGCAGTTCACCCAGTTCTGAGCAAAACTGATGCCTGTCAGGACCCACCTGGTTTCTGCCACCTCGATTAGAAGTTACTCTCCTTCGCTGACTGAGCTGGGTCTTTTCCCAGCTGCCCTAGGCGGACACCAGCAGAGAAACCCCACTGTAAACGCGGCCTGCCCGCGGTCTGCCCCCTGCGGTGGCTCTGCTCCCTGCGGTGGCTACTGGACGGAAGCCTGGGGAGCGGCCGGTGAGCCGCCAGTGTGGCCGGGCTGGCGCCCAACCCAGTCCTCCTGTGTCCCCTGCCGCTTAGAGAGAATCACAGTGCACACCTGTAGCTCCCACCCTTGGGGCTACAATGAGACCCACCTTAACAACAACAACAACATCAGATGAACTTGGAGGACATTCTGTGAGGTGAAACAGGACGGAGGAAAATTTATAGGCTCCTAGGACGTCCCTAGAGCCACCAAACACGGAAAGTAGAAAGTCGGTAAAGTCACGGAGCATGGGAGGGCGGGGCTCTGAAGCAGGACCCTAGCTGAGCATGCAGCATCCAGGGTTCCAACCCACACTGTAAAGGGAAGAGAGTTCTGGAAATCGAGATGGTGGAGACTGGACACGAGTGAGCTTAGTGAGTGGTCCTACCCATGCGACCAGCCTGTTCTACACAGAGTTCCAGACTAGCCAGGGCTTCACAGAGAGGTTCAGTCTTTAAAAAATAAAAATCGGAGGCTGGGCATGGTAGTGCACTCCTTTAACTCCAGCACTTGGAAGGCAGAGGCAGGGGGATCTCTGTGAGTTCAAGGCCAGCCTGGTCTACAGATCGAGTTCCAGGACAGCCCAGGTTACACAGAAAAACCACCAAAAAACAACAACAAATCAAATCAGTTTGTGCCTGTGCTTCACAGCATGAACTTAACATCTTTCGGCTTGTGTAAGATCATAGAGATGGAGCCCAGGGCCTTGGGCATGCTAGGCAAGTGATCTACCCTGAGTCACGCCCCCAGCCCCTCCCTGGGGGACCCTAGGCAGGGGCTCCACCATTAAGTTATTCCCCCAGTGCTATTAAACAGAGTCTTTTAAAAAGTGATATAAAGAACCCTGCTCTCAATATTAGACAACAGAAACTACCAAGCTTGAATCCTTCTGCTAAAATTAACTTGAACTTAAGACTCGGTGTCAGAGTTCTGGTGCCTATTCGTGGACACCGCAGCAGCTGGTGCTGGCAACGGTCCCTGACCACAGGCCAGCCAGTGGCTGTCACGCCTCCTTCCCAAAATAGGCTGGGAGGCTCTTTATTTCCATGCTATCCGTCCCGTCAGAATATGAGATCCCCATGCCTCGGGCTGGAGGGCAGGAAGGCCAATCCCCTGTAATCTCCAGCTCCTCTAGCCCAGCCAAGCCAGAGCCGCTGTGGTTTATACACAGGTTCTGCAATCCTGTTGGCAAGGGCTAAGTCCCTGCCCCCCCTCTGCATTTCAGCTGTGAAAAGCTGTGATGAACACAGGGCAACCAGGGTCACCAGGGTCACCAGGGTCACCAGGGCCCTTTGGGGCACACTCCTGGAAGCGGCAGTGCTGCTTGGCGATGCTAGCTCCCCTCCCCTCCCTCCCTTTCCCCCTCCCCTCCCTCCACTCCTTCCCCTCCCCTCCCCTCTCTGTTCCTCCCCTCCCTCCTCTTCCCCCTCCCCTCCCTCCCCTTCCCCCTTCCGTCCCTCCCCTCCACTCTCTGTCCCTCCCCTCCCTCCCCTTCCCCCTTCCCTTCCTCCCCTCCTTCCTCTCCCCTCTCTGTCCCTCCCCTCCCCTCCACTCTCTGTCCCTCCCTCCCCTCCCTCCGTTCCTCATTTCTTTTTTGGTGTTACTCTGGTAGTTCAGGCTGACTTGGAACTGGTGATCCTCCTGCCTCTGCTTCCTGCGTGCTGGGGTGACAGGTGTTGAGAAGTTGACATGCTTGACCCTCATGCCAAGCTTCAGCTACGACCCCCCCCCCCCCCGTCCCTGGAGGCGCAGCACCTCTAAGAGCAGACCCCACTGCCCCTACATTCTGAGGCTCAATAAAGCGAAAGGGCTTGGTTCACTTTTACATTTATTGGCTGATCACTCACTGAGCTTTGATTGACACCGGAGGATGGAACCCAGCAGCTTCCAGTCTCAGGTCCTCCCCTGCCTCCCAGCAGACGGGCATCGGGGGCATTCACAGAGGCCTGAGCCCAGCCGTGCCCCACGCGCACCCCTCAGAAGTCCTGGTGACTTTGGCTACCACGGCCCTGCCCCTCCCCAGCAGCAGCGCAGTGCTCCACGGAGCAGCTGTGGATCTGTGTTTGCTGGATGGCTGAATGAATGATGCTGGCCCAGCATGAAGGACACCCGATGTGCCCAGTGTCCCAGAGGCTGCACTCTCAGACACTCCGCACTGCATGCAGCTGGCTACACTTCTTTTGTCTGTGGGCAGCTGGAAACTCAAGCTCCGCTTCCTAGCCATCAGCCCTGGCTGGGTCTGCTTGGCTGAGAAACTGGTGAGACCTTCTGGGCCCAAACTCAAACGGCCTCACGTACAAAGCCGCCATCCTTTATCCGGCTCCCAGCTCCCCGGCCATAGCAAGCTGCTTAGGAAACTTCTGACATTATCTATCCTCTGTACACAGGAGGACCTGGCGTCTCCACACTACTGACAGGAAGCACGAGGCTCAGAGAATGAAGCCATTTGCTCCAAGATGCCCAGAAGGACAGGAACGGCGGGAAAGGATGTGGGAACCCCAGCACCTGGCTCTTGGGAGGAATTGGGTAACTGAGTCTCCATGTGGCCTTAAATTCTTTTGGTTACAAGATACAATTTGAAAGAACAAAGACAGAAAACCAAGAGTCTACTGGCCAGGGCTTCTGCTGAGGACTGGGTGACCCTGAAGGCTGTGATGTCATGAGGGGTCCTGCAGAAAGCAGGGCTTCTTACTCCTACAGAACTCCTCCCTCGAATCGCAGCCCCATCGCCCTGGGGGTGGCTGATGGCTCCAAACTGCAGATGGGGAAGTTGAGACCACAGAGGGGATTCTGAGCTCTGTGCGCCCCCAAGTTCTGAGGTTCCCAGTCCACATCCTTCTCCCCAGCACCCCCATGGGGAGTGCCTTCTCTAATCCGCCTTCTTGGTCTTCTTCTTCCTGGAGCCTTCGCTCAGCTCCTCCCTGGCCTTGGCAGGCAGGCCAGAGTGCTGGGTGCCCAGCCCGCTGCCATGTGGTGCTCCATGGTTGTCATGGTGATGATCACCTCCCCAAGCTGCCCCAAACAGCACTGGGCAGATGTAACCCTCCAGGACATCAAATGGAGAACTGTGCGAGTGTGTGGCCGTCAGGAACACCTGAAGGGGGCCCAGGAAACACACGTGGGTGAGAGGGCAGAGGGGCAGTGAGAAGGGGCGTGGGCCAGCCTCAGCTCTCTGGCTTCCCACACCTCCGAGTTCATGAGCCCCCATCCTGGAGAGACCCGACTTCTGGTGTCCAAGCCTGGATAGTTCAGGGATGCCATGACCGTGGACACCCACACAAACGGGACCTCCAACACCTTCACTTGGGTGCTATGTTTTGTTGCTGTTGTTGAGTCAGGGTACCATGTAGCCCAGGCTAACCCCCTACTCACTATATAGCCAAGTCTGACCACGAGAGATAGCTATCCCCTTCCATCATGTGGGAAGACAGAAGGTGTCAATCATCTCAAGCTGGGAAGAGCTGCTCGCCGTACAGCACCCCACAGCCACCATACCCCACCTGGACTGTCTTGGACGTCACACTCAGAGCTCTGAACAAACTTCCTCCCTCCCCTCCTCACCCCTCCCTGCTTTCTCTCCCATCCTCCCTCCCCTCCTCACCCCTCCCTGCTTTCTCTCCCATCCTCCCTCCCCTCCTCACCCCTCCCTGCTTTCTCCCCCCTCCTCTCCCCTCCCCTCTCCTCACTCCTCCCTGCTTTCTCTTCCATCCCCTCCCTCCCCTCCTCATCCCTCCCTGCTTTCTCTCCCCTCCTCTCCCCTCCTCACCCATCCCTGCTTTCTCTCCCATCCTCCCTCCCCTCCTCACCCCTCCCTGCTTTCTCTCCCCTCCTCTCCCCTCCCCTCCTCACCCCTCCCTGCTTTCTCTTCCATCCCCTCCCTCCCCTCCTCATCCCTCCCTGCTTTCTCTCCCCTCCTCTCCCCTCCCCTCCTCTCCCTGCTTTCTCTTCCATCCCCTCTCTCCCTCCCCTCCTCACCCCTCCCTGCTTTCTCTCCCATCCTCTCCCTCCCCTCCTCACCCCTCCCTGCTTTCTCTTCCATCCCCTCCCTCCCTCCCCTACTCACCTCTCCCTGCTTTCTCCCCCTCCTCTCCCCTCCCCTCCTCACCCCTCCCTGCTTTCTCTCCCATCCTCTCCCTCCCCTCCTCACCCCTCCCTGCTTTCTCTTCCATCCCCTCCTCACCCTCCCTGCTTTCTCTTCCATCCCCTCCTCACCCTCCCTGCTTTCTCTCCCCTCCTCTCCCCTCCCCTCCTCACCCCTCCTTGCTTTCTCTCCCATCTTCTACCTCCCTCATTTGCTTGTTTGCTTTTAGTTTGTGTTGTATTTTAAGGCGGGGTCTTATGTAGCCCAGACTGCCCCAAACTTGCTACGTAGTTGAAGATGACCTTGAACTCCTGACTCAGGGTCCACTTCCCTGCCACAGGGCCCAGGGGTGTTTGCTTTGTTTTTTTGAGACAGAATGTCATTATGTAATCCTAGCTGGCCTGAACTCACTATGTAGTCCAGGATGGCCTCAAACTCATGTTGATCCTCCTGCCTCAGCCTCAACAGCAGGGCTCACTCACTTTCCAAGGTTAGGGTCCTCTCTAGGGATGACCATCCCTAGACATGGCCTTCTATGCTCAGGAAGCTAGGGGCAGCATTCTCCAGTCCTGCGGCAGGACAGGGAAGACCCAAGCCCCTTCTGGGTGGTTTGATCAGTCACGCTGGAACCCACTGGTTACACTCACAGTAGCTTCCAGCTTCCCGTCTCCATGGTCTCCATACAGGGCACCGGCACCCCCAGCCTACACGCGCAAGGCCAATTCTCTTCATCCCCATCTCCCAATGGATTCCTCCTATCGTCTCTCGTGGACCATGTACCCCAGGTTTCTGCACCCGCCCCAGGGAACAGAAGGTCGCAGGCTTACCTTACACGACACCATGAACATGGTGAAAATGAAGATGAGGCTGGCCTTGGACACGGGCAGCCAGCGGGTCTGCTGCAGCGTGAACAGGATGGCTCCGTACAGGCTGGCCTTGGTGGGGCTGCGGGTGTAAGACAGGGGTCACCGTGGTCCACTGCCAGCCCAGGCTTCGCTAGCTCACCAGAATGGCAGAGGCCAGGAGGCACTGGACCGTCTTCCCTGTCTGGTGGCTGGTGCCTGCCTGATGGGGGGCATTTTAGTTTATGTTGGGTTGGGAAGTTACGGTCTGAGCTCATGTAGGAAAACAGCTGGGGGGTCTCAAGCCCATGGAAGATGGAGGAAGAGGCTATGCCGGGGTGAAGAACTAAACTGGTGAGGAATTCGCAAGGTGATGACACAGTCAGGGAAATAAAAAAATCTGTGACCAAATCAGGGTGCCAGCTACTAGCCTTTCCTCTATGCTGACCCCTGACTTCCCACGGTTGTAAAATAAAAGGATTCTCTCTCCTGAGTCTCCAGGGCTCTTATTATGAAGTGAGGGCCACTGCTTCTGATGGAGAGATCCGTATTGTCACCTACCACTGAGTTATGGTCCCTGGTCCCTCCTCGACATCACCCTTTGCCTGCTCCCACCACACTGTCTCTACCTGTGTCTCTCTATCTCTCACCCAGGTAAGTGACTTTAGAGAGTTGGTTTCTCCCTCCACCATGTAGGGCCTGGGGATTGAACTCGGGTCATCAGGCTTGGCAGCAAGCTCCTTTACCCACTGAGCCATCTCGTGGACCCTGCACCTTATATCTGAGGCAAAGTCAGGTTTGAATGAAAATGCCCCCATTCTGGTCCCAGGTGGTGGCGCTGTTTGGGGAGGTTGAGGAAGAGTGCCCTTGCTGGAGGCAGTGCTGGGGCAGACTGGGAACTAAGGGACTTGGGAGCCCTCAAGATGCGAGCCCTGAGCCCCTGCTCCTGCCACCATGCCACACCTGCTGCTGACTGCCAGGTCTCCCACCACGACAGACTCAGCCCCCTGGAGCCGAAGCGCAAATGAACAGCTTGGCATGGCGTTCTGTGCTGGCAACTGTAGGAGAGCTAAGACAGCAGCACCGGGGTGACAGGTGTGCTGCCTCCCCTGGCTTCTTCACCAGCACCAAGGTGACAGGTGGCCCCGAGTAAGTCTCCTGCCCTTGAATTGCTTCTGTCTGTCAGCTATGGGGTCTCAGCAATATGAAAAGCCGTCTTGGTGGCTCAGCAGGTACGGGAAGCTAAGGTCACCATGCAGATGGCTAAGGAGGCACACGTGACAATAAAACTCCTGGACAGCTGGGCGTTGGTGGTGCACGCCTTTAATCCCAGCACTCGGGAGGCAGAGGCAGGCGGATCTCTGTGAGTTCGAGGCCAGCCTGATCTACAGAGCGAGTTCCAGGACAGCCTCCAAAGCCACAGAGAAACCTTGTCTCGAAAAAAACCAAAAACAAAAACAAAAGCAAAAAAAAAAAAAAAAAAAACTCCTGGACGGTCAGTACAGGTGCTTGCATGGTGGGGACTCCTGCAGGCTTCCCTCCCAGCACGGATGGCTCCGGGTTAAAGCACTTGCCCAGAGCTGGCTGGGTCTCGAGCCTGGGCATATCGGGGACTTGGGGTTTGACAGAGAGACCCTGACTCAAAGAATGTGGTGGGAAAGAAATTGAGGACGCTCCCAGTATAACCCCAGGTCTCCACACGGACGCGCACACGCATTCACAACACACAGATACACAGGAAAATGGAGAAAAGAACAAAGGAATGAGAGAGAAAAGGGATGTGTCAGGCCCAATGCAGCGGTCCTGAAGGGTCATATGTTTTACGAGGCTCCACCCACCATTCCCTCGCCCCTCCCACTGCGCTGTCTGCCCGCGGCCCCACCCTCCCCACCCTGCGCTGTCTCCTTGCTCCCACGCCCACTCTGGTCCTGCCCTGTGAAGCGTGTCAACGGTGGTGATTCTAGGCTCTGCGGGGAGAGTCTATTGCCGTCCTACTCACTCTTTAAATCCCAGGCAAGTATCACCTTTTGCAGAAGTTCCTCCTGTCCTTACCCCAGCAGTATCTCCAGGCAAGGAGGACCAGTGGTCAGAGGTGGGGTACTCACAAGGACATGTGCAGGATCTCATTGGTCTCGGGCTTCCAGACTCCTCGAAGCAGCTGCTCCAAGTTGGACAGGAGGGCAACACCAGAGCCTGTGGGGCAGGGCACCGCTGAGCTGACTGGTCACCCCACACCCGGTTTCCTTCTCCAGCTTCGGTTCCCAAGGAAACAAAGGGCTGTCTCTGTGCCTGGGGAAGACCATCCACTACAGGTAGGGGAATGAGGCTCTCCACCTTCTTCCCCAGGTTCGCACAGCAGTCGGGGCAAACCGACAAGAAGCAGTTGGATGTGTTCCCACCTACGGGGGACTGACTAGAGTCTTACTGTGTTGCCATGCTGGCCCGGGATTCCTGATCCCTTCCCTGGCTCAGCGTGAAGAATGCTGGGATGACAGAAGCCCACCCCACCCCCCACCCCACCCCACCCCCAGCTAACTGCTAGGATTGTATTTATTGAAAAAAATCTAAGAATTCTTTTTTTGTAATTTTATTGTTTATTTTGTGTATGGGGGTGTTGGCACACCACAGCATTAATGCAGAGCTCAGAAGACAACGGTGGAGTGAGCTCTCTCTTTCCACACTGTGGGATCCAAGGATTGAATCCAACTCCTTGGGTGGCAATCACTTTTACCTACTGAGCCATCCTGTCAGCCCCTATAGATTTTTAAAAGTTACATTTGTCTAGGTATGGTGGCGCACACCTTTAATTCCAGATCTTGGGAGGCAGAGGCAGGGGGATCTCTGCCAGTTTGAGGCCAGCCTGGTCTACATAATGAGCTCTAAGCCAGCCAGGGCTACATAGAGAGACTCTGTCTGGAAAAAATATTGCTACATTTCATTTATACTTTTGGTAGCGGGAAGTATGTCCATGTGCATGCATCACCGTGACAATGTGTAGAGGTCCAAGGACAACTTGCAAGAGTTGGTTCTATCCTTGCACTATGTGGGTTCCGGGGACCAAACTCAGGACACCGGGTTTGGCCTCGAGGGCTCTTCCTCACTAGGCCACCTTGCTTGCCCCTCTCATTATTAGCTTCGTTGTTATTGTGTTTGGTGTGTGTGGGCACGTGGGCCATGGCGCTCATGTGGTGGCCAGGGAACAACTTGTGGTAGTGTCACAGGGATCAAACATAGGACACCGTCACCAGGCTTTTGCTGCAAGCTCCTTCACCCACTGAGCCATCTCACCGGACCTCCTCGTCGTCATTCCATTTACCTTTGACCCAGCCGGTGGCGATCATGACGAACCAGCCGTGGTGGTAGTGGTGGTGTGCGTGATGGATGCCCACGGCAATCTTTCGGACCCGCACCACCTCCTTCATAGCCACAAAGATGAGCTTCACGGGCAAGAAGCAGACGCACGTGTAGAAGAGGTCCAAGGGACAGAAGAAAATCAAGTACCTTTGAGGACAGGAGGCCTGGGGTCAGGGGGACCGCAGCGGAGCAGGAGATCCAGAGGAGGGCGCTGGTGCCCTGCAGATTGCGACTGGGGTCCTTCAACCTCCCTCCTCCCTGGTGCTGGGGCCACCCCTGGCCCCAGGCTCGGTCTTTCTGGGGCCTCCAGATGCTTACCACACTGCAGAGGCCAGCAGGATACTGGAGCTGTTGCTGAAGTAGTCAATGATGGGCTCCCCGAGGAGCAAGTCCGCCAGGATGTAACTCCCGAAGCAGTGCAACATGGCGCACAGCCAGGACGCCACCGGGTGGCGTCGGGCCAGCTCCACAGATCCTGCGAGGCACGTGAATTCCGGTGGTCATTGAAGAGGCAACCAGAGGGGCACGCCACACCTGCAGCATGCTGCCCTTTTAACCCTGGGTGCTGAAGGTTAAACCCAAGGCTTCCCATGTGGCCCTCGGGAGCTGGGATGGAAGCCAGCCGCACGCGGGGCCTGAGCTCTACCACCAAGGTCAGGAAGAGACAGCTGGATTCACCTGTGCCCACCGAGGAAGCCACCTTAGGCCTCAGGTGGGGTGAGGCATTTATAGGAAAAACTCACTAAATCTCATCAGGGGCCACTGAGCTGGTAAAGGTGCTCGCCACCAAGCCTATGTTCTGTCCCGGGACCTGCGCAGTGGAGGGAGACCTGACTCACTGTGCACGCATCCATGCACACACACACACACACACACACACACACACACACACACACACACACACACACGAAACAAAAGCAGCCCAGCATGGTGGCCCACAACTTAGGCAGATCTAAGTTCAAGGCCAGCCCAGTCTACACAGTGAGTTCCAGGGTTACACAGAGAAACCCTGTCTCAAGTAAATAAATGAATGAATGAATGAACGAATGAATAGTGACAGTATTTGTAAATCTCCACAGTCGCTGTTAATGGTTAGGCTCTATCTATGTTTACATTGTCCCCATCTCATAAAGACACACCCCGGATGATTGCTTATCCTGAGGAGTTCCTTCCTTTCTGGTCAGTTCTGAACAACCTTAGGACAAAGCTGCCACTCAGTATAACGATACTCTCACTCCTACAACTCAGGAGCTTGATGCTCCTCAAAGAGCAACCAGGGGGGAGATGCTGTGGAAGCGGGAGGGCTGGAATTCAGACCCTGAGACCCCGTGAGACCCAGAATCTGGTGCGGTGTCTCAACAGCAACAGGCCTACCCCTGCCACCCTCGGGACACAGAGGGAAGAATGAGCCGACTCCTGCACCTTGTTCTCTGGGCCATGTACGCAGCAAGTGTGCACATGCACACACACACGTGTCCTCTAAAGAGCACACGGAAGAATGGCCGGCTCATTGAGTGTGCATGCACACACACACACACACACACACACACACACGTGTCCTCTAAAGAGCACGCAGAAGAATGGCCGGCTCGTCAAGTGTCCTGGTAGGTACTTACAACTGCAGTACTTGGGACACACATCGAGGAGGAAGAGGGCAGGGAAGGGGAGGCGAGGGAGGCGGGGGAGGGGAGGGAAGGGAAAGAACGCCCCCTCCTGAATCTATTTAAGGCACTGCTTCCCCTGAGAAGTAATCCCTGGAGCAGCTGTTGAACGCACCCCCTGCCCTTCGGAAAAAGACACTCACATGTGCTTCTAAAAATAGCTGCCAGGGGCGGTCTTATTCCAGGGTGTTTCTTGTGCCCTTTGGGACCATCCTAGAGCCAGAGCTGAGATTTCAGTGACTGACACTGTGGCAAACAGACCACAGGCTTTGCTTCATGAGCACCTCCTATATAAAGTCCTATGTCCCCTTCTGACTCTGCCATTCGGGCCTAGGTAGCCCCGAGCAAGTGTCTGCCACCAGCATCCAGCTGGCCGTTTTCTTTGGTTGTCAAAAGGCAGAGGGATGAGTTTACACAGCTCTCAAGGTATAATGGTTCAACTCACTGTCTTTACTTTTGAAAGGCTTCTTTGTTTTATGTGTATGAGTGTTTGCCTACATGTGTGTCTGTGTATCATGACAGTGCAGTGCCTGCTGAGGCCTGAAGAGGGTGTCCTATCCCTTAGAGCTGAAGACACAGATGGTTGTGAGGGACCCTGGATCCTTTGCCAGAGCAGCCAGTACTCCTAGCTGCTGAGTTATTGCTCCAGCACAGTTTGTTGCATTTATCTATTTTGGCATGGCATCTGGCTCCAATCCAGGCTAGCCTTTAATCTGCCATTCTCCTGCCTCAGCCTTCCCACTGCTGAGATGACAGGCTGCAGTTACTCAGAGCCTGAAGAAGCCCAGGCTCCCTGGCTCTATCAAAGATTGCCTACCAGGACAAAAAAAAATTGCTTAACCCTTAGCAATTATGCCAGAGATACCCCAGGACCTAGAGTGAGATTGAAATAACGGGGGGGGGGCCCCCCGGGGTGGAGGGGGCGGGGTGGAAATTTGACACACTAGAGTGGTGATATTTTGTCTATGCTTTAATAAATAAAGCTGGCCTGAATTTCAGAGTGCAGAGCTAGACACACAAGCTAGCCATAGAGGCCAGGCAGTGATGGCACACACCTTTAATCCCAGCATTTGAGTGACAGAGACAGATGGATCTCTGTGAGTTCAAGGCCACCTTAGGCTACACGAAATTGGTCCACTCTAAAAGAGAAACAGAGCTCATGCAAAGGCGATCCCAGAACTTGGGATCCCAGCACTAGAGAGGTGGAGACAGAAGTGATATTGCTGGGCAGAGAGGCGGGAGGTGCCTGGAGCTCAAGGCAGTCTGAGGATTCACAGAGACGTCGAGACAGATGCGGTCTGGGCAGTCAGTCTGAGGACAGGACCGCTCCTTTCGTCTGAGCACTGGCAGAGGTAAGATCTCTAGTGGCTGCTCTGCTTCTCTGATCCTTCTTCAGCTTTCACCCCTGATAGCCGACTCCGAATTTTTATTATTAAGACCAATTAGAATTTGTGCTACCTCTGCTTTGGGTACAAATTCACAAAAAAAAGCCATTTGTCTGTGACTTTGCAGCCACCGGTGGAGGCCAGAGCTACACGCAGCTGGAGTCACTGCCCTACTGACTAGGGTTTCCTTTCCCTGGACCCCCTTCTTTGGGCCTCTGCCCAGCTGGGTCAGGCTTCTACTGTTCTACGCAGCAGCAGTCAGCCTTGTATCTTCATTCATCGGTATTTGATGAGAAAATCAGGAATTCCTTTTTTTTTTTTTTTTTGGTTTTTCGAGACAGGGTGTCTCTGTGGCTTTGATGGCTGTCCTGGAACTAGCTCTTGTAGACCAGGCTGGTCTTCAACTCACAGAGATCCGCCTGCCTCTTGCCTCCCAAGTGCTGGGATTAAAGGCAAGCGCCACCACGGCCTTTAATTCTTGGTTTATCTCTAAAAAAGTTTTTGATGAGTGCCAAGACACAGGCCTTAGAAAACCTTAATAAAACAGATCACAGAGATATTCAAACCCAGACAGGATTTAAAGGAGAACCAACTTCAGCTTTGCATTATAAGGTTAGAGATGAACAACCCAAGGTTTTCAAACAACCAACCTTAATATATCCAGTAACTTTACAGGAACTGCCAAATGACAGAGGCTCTGTAAGAGCTGACTGGACTCCTGTGCCAATGTTAGATTTAAGGAGATTCAAGGGAGCAATAGTCTCATATGGCATGCATTCGCCAGTTGTGAAGTAGATGTTAAACTTGTGGTCAACTTGTAATAAAATCATCCCTCAAGACTGAAGAGACTTGGCTAAAGGTGTTTCAGAGCCTGGTCCATGATTACAACAGAGGACCTGATAGATAGAAGAGGGTAAGACCATTGAAAACCAGAGTAGGGCTAGAGGCATGGAAATCTCCCAAGATCAACTTCTTTTTTTTTTCTTTTTTTTTTTTTTTTTTTTTCTTTTTGGTTTTTCGAGACAGGGTTTCTCTGTGGCTTTGGAGGCTGTCCTGGAACTCGCTCTGTAGACCAGGCTGGCCTCGAACTCACAGAGATCCGCCTGCCTCTGCCTCCCGAGTGCTGGGATTAAAGGCGTGCGCCACCAACGCCCGGCCAAGATCAACTTCTTGGAAGGGGATGATGCTACTATAGAAAGTCAACACCCATATGATGGCCACACCCTGGCTTTATGCCATGCAACAGCCTTGGATGCTTGGGACAGAATTAAAGAAATCAGAAAGATTAAGTCATTTGCTAAAGTCATACAGGGCCTGAAAGAAACTTTCAATGATTTCTTACAAAGATTGACATTAGCAGTAAATGATACTAAATTCAGAAGCTAGACAAATAATAATTGAATCTCTGGCTTTTGAAAAAGCTAATTTTCAATGCAAAAAGATAATTAGGCCTTTAAAGGCAAGATCAGCACCCTTGGAGGAATGGATTGGAGATACAACCAATATTGAATCTCATGACCATGAGGATGCTGAGATAGGAGAGGTGATTTCCAGAGGTTTGCAGAAAAATCGAAATGTCAAGTGAGGTGTGACAAAGGCAGACACTGGACAAATAAATGTAGATCAGTGAGGGACAATCAAAGTAACCATTTGCCATCGGGAAACTCCTTGAGGGGCCTCTCACAGGCCCCCATGCCAAATCTGGTTCATTCGTTTCCTGTAACTAAGGAAAAAACTCCTTCCCAAAGCAATTAAAGAACCTAATGTCTATTATAAGAACCCATACTGCCCTTGGTGATAGAAAAGCTATAAAAGAGAGAACAAAAAATTCAGAAACCATAAATCAAAACTGATAAAGATTAGATTTGAACAAGAGAGACCTCTTAATTAGAAGAGGTGATAGTTGGTCAAACAGCATGACCACTCAATCTAAACTAATTTTTTTTGGGTTTTTTGAGACAGGGTTTCTCTGTGGCTTTGGAGACTGTCCTGGAACTCTTGTAGACCAGGCTGGTCTCGAACTCACTGCCTCCCGAGTTCTGGGATTAAAGGCATGCACCACCACTGCCCGGCTAAACTAATTTATAAGACTAACAAATACTTTTCATTTGATCAGATAAAATTTGCCAAAAGAGAAACTCCCCAAAATTAGGACTGGAGGAGGGTTTGGGTTTTGTCTTTTCAGGAAAATAAAAACAACCATCTTGTCCTCAATACCTTTGGACAAATAAGCATCCAAAGAAGATGGGAGAGCTACTTGAAAAATCTGACCTAATGAGATCTAAAGTCTTCAAAAAGTTGATGAGGCCCCACAATGATGATTCCACCTGGACTATGATAACACCATGAAGCTGACAAACACTACCTAAAGATCAGTTTTGGACCAGAAACTGCTCAGAACAATTTTGAGGTAGCTAGCTGAGATGATC